ATAAAGATAGTGTAGACTTGTAGCTTTTCATAACTGTTTTCCTTTTTTAGATATCTATAATACTTTTTCAAGAAGAGATTTGACAGTATGGCATTGTTTTGAATGAAATTTACATCAGGAACGTCATTATTTGTAACGTAACGTCATAACATCGTAAAATGTCCTTTGCTATAGAACATTCAACATTAACTGCTTACTTTTGTACACCCGAGCGTTACAATAGTTCTTTATCTAAACACGTAGTTTTAAAAGTATGTAATACTCTAGACATATGTCACTGCATTATTTGACATAATTATTATCTGATATACATGTAATAAATTGTGAAAAGTTCAAATTCTGTGACTGGATAAATGTAAAGTGAAGCCCGGCGCAGTAATCGTTAAATCTTTTTCTAAACAAGAATCTGGGCCTATTGTAACGAAATAGAATTATCAAAGTTGAAAGGTATGTTTTTGTCTATGTGACAAACCCCGATTTTTCGTGCATTTTGACAATGAAATATATGTCTTGCAGAATTCTTGAAGTTTTAAAGAAAAGGGGGTGCAAGTAACATGAATTTGATTAGAAAGTTGAGTATATATAGAATGTAGCCCTAAATTCGAGTTTTTCTAGTTATATTACCAGGTTTGTCATAGTCTGCTAGTTAATATTGATACCACACGTATTTGGATTTAGATTTTTTTCTTTCAGGTATGTATCTATTCCTTTATGCAAAATTATACAGTGTATTTTTTATTCTCATGTTCTATATCGCTATCACTTCTATTTTGTCTTTGGGGGGGGGATGACGTAAGACATGCGTTTTAATCCTATAATCTTAAATTATATTATTGTATACTACATTAAAAAAAATCTGCGCCTATGTTTATTGTTGAAAAAAATCAAGTAATCAGCAAAGGATTGTTGCTTGTCTCCAATATTACACTGAGACTCGTTTGTATATAAAAAAAATATTTAAAATCGCCATGCACACTCAGCATGGTTGGAATAGTACTACATGTACCCGAGAATGGGACGAATTATACATTGCCACAGTTTTTTTTATATTTGAAGCGAAACCAATCTAACCACCAGTCATAGTGGAGGGGCATCCTAAGAAACAAAATTATATGTCCCAATTCGCGTTCACGGTACTGAGATATATAGGTGTTATGAATATAAAATGGAGTGAAAATGAAAAGTTAATTTTTTATCACTTATTGTTAATAACTGTCTTCCCCAGTAACGCTTTACATCACTTCTGCAGATATTTTCTTCTATCTGTAGATAATTCAGTAATATGTCCGATCCATGTTATGTCTGATCACTAGATGTGATTGAGAAATCCGCAATGCAAATCAATTACTACTAAAAGATAAATTAGGTTTCAAAATCCATGTTTATTTTTATTCATTAAATGTGCGCAAATCGTTAGTCTGACACCTTTTTATTTTAATCGGATAACCTCGGTATTTCCCTGAAAATGAATTCAGGTGTTACAGAATTTCGGACACATTTGACACCTTTTTATTTAAATCGGATAACCTCGGTATTTACCTCAAAATGAATTTAGATGTTACAGAATTTCGGAGACATTTGACCAGTTTCTATTGTAGTTACGATCGAGACGTACTTCTATAATGTATAAGTGTGCAGATAGATCATCCCGAGTTGTTCAATTTCAGAGTTATTAGATTACCAATAAATTTTTCTTTCCTTTTTTCGTTCGGGAAAAAAATCTGCGTCGTATTATTTTTTAAAAGTATGCCAAAGAAAAGGTTCTAAGTCATCGTAAAAGGTTAATAAAGAAGGGAAAAGCTACGGAGAGAGAGAGAGAGAGAGAGAGAGAGAGAGAGAAGCGTTTTAGAGCTTCGAGTTTTAAAATAATGTTAGCTAACTAACATTTACTGTAATCTTAAATGCATAATATTCATAAATGCTATATATTTCTTCAATTGAAATATCAGTGTGTAAACAAGTAAAACTATTTACTTTTTATGTATCCTAGAATACACATAGAGTTGCATGAATTTTAGATATCAACTTCGGATTAGGCATTTTTTTATGTTTATAAAAAGATTCGGAACAAGTATTTCGTTCAACATCTAGTGCTGGCAACAAATTGGAAACTCGACACAAATGAATTCTCAACACTTTTTTCTAATTATGAAATTATTTTGACAAACTTCTTCAAATTATTTTTGCTCAGATGCAGTAGACCTCACGGTCAAATTATGACGTCATCATTGTATCATGTACGTAAGCATGAAAGAAAAGAGCGTAATTTTAAATTTTATATGAAAGAACACACATTAAATGACAATTTAAGATATTCTATCACAAAATTATTGACAAATATAAGATTATATAATTATCAAGAATAAATCTGATGTACTAATAACTAATTTAGGGTATTTATGCATATAATGAACTTATAAATTACTACTGAAATGGAGGATCCTGCTACAATTTCTGAAACTCAACATTCATAAATTGTAAAATTCATATTGGCCACACGCGAGTACCTCTGGGATATTTTGCATGAAGGTGCATATATGTAATATTTTCATGCATGCAAAGTTTGGAAAGGGTACTTGAGTGTGGCCACATTCAAATTTCGAAATAACTGCCGTAAAATCGGCGTTTTTAGGCAGTTTTTAACTTCATAAGTATATTTGTCTCTGCGCATGTGCTAAAGACGGTGACCTGTGTGCCCAAAAATTATATGTAGCGTACCATGACATTGTGCTCTACAAGATAACATATGAAAGGCTTCGTGATTTTAAACTTAAATTTTGTCAAAAATTAAAGGCGGATATTGATAATTCGTGGCTTTAGCTCTTTGTTCGTTTAATAAAATTTAACGTAGATCTTTACCTCATTATTTTTTGTTAAATTCACACTTTACTTTATAATACTTCCAAAAATTAAGTTATATACGAAGAATTGTAAACTTACTAATACGTACAAATTTTATTCTTTCATAAACTAATATTAAATCTTTTGTATATGTGATGAAAATGTACGGATTAAACCTTCCCATATAATTAAGATTTAAGGTTGTATTTGATGAAATTTAACATTATTATATTATTGCATAATATTTTTATTTTACATTTATTCCATCTATAATTTGTATGGTTTACAATTGTGGGTTTTTTGGCAAGTATTTTACAATCTTACACAAATCCATTTCTCATTCAATTTTATTAGATCTTATCTCAATAGTGTACAAACAATGAGTTCTAACAAAGTACAACATATTTCAAATTTAAGCCTAAAAGTCAGAATAAAAAAATTACAATCATGATTGTAGCTCAATTATAATGGAGTAAATTTCTACATACTAGTAGTAAGTAATATACTGAAGTAATTATAAATAATATAAGAATAGTATTATATGTAAAATTCAAATCCGCAATAAATCAAAACACAACAGGTAAAAAATGTAGTCATTCTGGACTCCAAAAGACTGCAAAATCTTACTGAAACTGCCCCTATTAAAACTTCTGCATGGGTTGTAAATGGCTTTTCAATTTCCCACAATAAATTATATCATACTTTGCATAAAAAGAATAAAAGTTGCAAATAAAAGTTGTCCATTCTTTCTACATGTACATTTTAATAAGACACACTAAGCCACTAACAGAGAAGCCTCACTCGCCCACAAGCAACAGCAAAAGGATCGGTCAGAGACACCACCTTTCTCTTGCTTGGGTATCAAGATCTGCAACTTACTGCCAGCAAAGCTCTTTTAGACCACCCTTATATTGTTTCCCAAGTATTTCCACAATAGATGTCCATGCACTTATTATCCAAGTTCAACTTGAAAAATACTTAATGTTGACTGTGAAAAATACAAGACCCCAAAAAAAAAAACCTTTATATCATTTGGTTATGTCAATTCAAATTAAGGAAAAAGTATCACAACTACACAAAACAATAGCAGCTTAAATTTGTTTACAATACATGTAGCTCATTTCTGTTAGGTTTATTGCTTGATGATTGTAATATAAGATATCCTCATTAAATCAACGTTACATTGGAATGCAAAACATTTCAATGGTGATATTTTCAACTTTGCTTTAAAATATCAAAAATGAGCTCTGAAACATGCACATATAAAAGTCCTGTATAAACATATGTAAAAGTATTTTTAACAATTTTTTAAGCCTTAATTACAATTCCATAACTCATAATTCATAAACTCTCTTACTTCAAATGGAAGGAAACAAATTAATATTTTACTCTTGCAATATCAATTGTAATATTTATTTAAATCACAATTCACCCCCTTTTTACTCAGAAATGTCTCTACCTCATTTGCCTTTTCTATTTTTTACATCTATGACTCACTAAGCCACTGACAGAGAAGCCTCACTCGCCCACAAGCAACAGCAAAAGGATCGGTCAGAGACGCCACCTTTCTCTTACTTGGGTATCAAGATCTGCAACTTACTGCCAGCAAAGCTCTTTCAGACTACCCTTGATCATGATTGTCTTATTTTTTCCACAATAATGTCCATACACTTATTACTTAAGTTAGAATAGTACATATATGTGATATATAAATCAAGATTAAAATGTATTCGATTGCAGATTACACAACAAACCAATAAATGTTTAAACAATAAAATACATAACAGTTTTAATCTGTAATCAAGCATAAGAAAAAACTTTCACTGTCAAAAATACAACACTAGGTATATTTTTCTTATCTAAAATTGAATTTGTGCAAAACAGTAGCAACTCAGATATTTCATTTCTAATAGCCCATCTCTGTTCAAGTAATACATCCATAGGTTTGACTCTTTTAGATTCTTTATTTGTACTAGTTCCTCTTATGCTCTGTCTTTTAGAGTGCTTTGATTTGAGAATGGCAATTTTGGTGTCCTGTTCTTTGAAGACATTCTCACATTCATCAGAACGCAACTTCAGCTTTCTTATTTCATAGATAGTATTATCTTTAGAATCGTTTTTTGTACTATGAAGACGTAATCAATATTTAAAACTGCTTTTTCTTCTTCTCTTCATACCAAGAAGTTTTCAGCTCTGGAGAAGCACACCTAGCTCCTAATTTCTACAATAAACATAAAAATAAATACCCATTTGCCTATATATACATATTATATGTGTGCTTCCGGATTTATGCAATTGCATATATTAAATAGTAAAAACAAAATCTGAGTTGATTTTAAAATTATCATTTGACCTAGAGGAAACACAGCTCAATTTTGCTTAATTAAAAATTTACAGAAGACTACAAAAGATATGCCATTTTTTCAAATCTGGGTAATAAAGACAGATAATTATCTATAATTTCAGGCCAGCGAGCTACAGATTTCGAAGCGTGTAAATTTGGGACTTATGATTTTTTTCACCATCTTTTTTTTTGGAGCATTTTACGTGCTTGACCTTGAACATGTTGAGGTGCCCTTTTCTCTGCTCCTCCACACTAATTTTTTCATTTAGCAGCAAGATACTATGGATATGGTAAAAAGCTGTCATAAACAAAATATGAAAAATTAATTACAGGTGTGGCTCTCCATAGAAAGAATATACAAAAAAGGAGAAAAAATATACAAACAGGGTATACTTATGACTTACATGACTGCGGCAAGAAGATAGCATTTTACACAATGAAAAAAATTCTCTGTGTCATCTAGTTAAGTGAATTGCATAAAAAAACATATAATTATATGTATAGATCAAATTTATAGACGACAAAATATGATATGAAACATACATATTGGTACCGTAGTCCGAGCACATGGAATTTGAAGATTTACAAAGTTTAGGAAAATGCAAAGAATAGCATTTACAGCATTTATCATATTAAGACACACATATATATAGTTTCACAGCAGCAAGCTGCAGAATTTGTGGAAGTACATGTAAATTGGGGACTAGTGACTTTTTGCCATTTTTGTTTTAGCAATTTACCAATGTATTTACCTGCTTGACCTTGAATATGTTGAGGTGCGCAGCCCTTTTCTTCGTGTTCCTCCACGATATTTTATTTAATGTAGCAGAAAGATACTATGGATAAAAAAAATATGAAAAATTAAAAGCAGGTATGGCATCTCGTAGAAAAAATATACAAACAGATGTATTTATGATATAGAGCAAGTAGATAACATTGATACAATAATAAAATCCTCAAACTTTGTGATCTTTGTGATCTTTGTGATCTTGTACATATTATGATATGTATTATATTAAATTTAGAGACGACAAAACATGATATGAAATGGGTGTACATACTCGGAACACATGGAATTTAAGAGTAAACTTAAATGCAAAGGTTAGCATCTACAGCATTAAACATGCAAGTTATTGGGATAATGAACAAGTGATTTAACATAAAGTAAAATATATTAACAACTTACACTGTAGATAGCAAGTTTTTAAAGTGGACAACAAATGCAAACTTCCAGTAAATGGTGGCAATCTCATACACAATAAGTTGTACAACAAATGATTAGTTCGTACCTCATACTGGGTAGCCAAATATCTGGTCAAGTCACTTTCAGGAAGAGAGCCTCAGCAAGTTCAATGTTGATCATTCCCATAGCTACTTCAAACTTTTCTGGCACAATTTCTGAAAGAAAAGATGTATCTTGCAGGGATTTTTATTCAAACTAGGAATAATTCTCATGAATGTAAAAATTTGAAAAGTTTATAGATGACCGACGAATACCAGACACAGAACAGAAAACTCGCTCGGGTCTTTAAATGGCTCAGGTGAGCTAAAATAAATCAATTCATGTGATTTTATTGATCTTATCAGAAAATTTAAGAAATTTTACCGTTGTGATAATCTTCATACTGCTTTTGTCATTTCTTGTGAGCATTTGGATTCCTGTAAATAATGCATGCATAATTGTGCATCATAGAATGTGATAGCTATTTATAATAATTCATGCTTACGTATTTAACGTAAAAAAATTATGCATAGCTCAGAATCCATTGCTATTGTATTTTTAGGATAAGGAATAAGAATATAAACCTCGTATTGTCTACTTGGTATAGGCCTATAGCATTTCAAGTTGTTGCAATATTTTTTATACTCTTATGCTAAAAGATACAAGTTAATAAAAACATTGTTTGTTTATTTGTGATAATAGAAAATTTGAGCGGTATGGTTCTCACCATTTTCACAAGCTGTCTACATAGCCGGCGTTATGGGGAATCGTCTCAGGCACAGTCCACACTGCAACTATTTAAATAATCAAAATAAGTGCTCAATATATTCTTGAGTAGGCATTAAGAAATAAATAAATAATTTATTACATTGTGCAACACTCTCTGTAAATGCTGAACAGAGGAACACTTTAGTGACAAAAATTCTGAAACCAATCCCAAACGAGAAAATTCTGGTTAAAATCCATCTTTAAGTTAGATGGTTAAAAGTGTAAAATAATTATTACAAAATGTAAATAGCGCTTGCCCAAACGTTTTTACTGCCAGGCATTTTATGTGTACAGCCCAGATTAAGGAACAGTAACATTATCTGTAGCAGAGGAAATTATTCATTCAAGGACACATGATAAAATTTTGTACATTGTTCCTACCGCTAAACAGGGTCGTAAATGTCTTCATCTTCTGTTAAAACATAAATTCCATCCAAAGTTTATCATGCTTCTCCTTTTCGAGTAATACTCTTTCGCCCCTTCCTCCCGTACAACATCATGATCAAGTTCAACATAGAGAAAAAACTAAGTTATATTCCACAGTTTTGAAAAATCTACATAAGGGTAAATAAATAAAAATGAGAAATAAATAAATTAAAATGAATAGGGTGCCTAAATATTTTTTTTTTTCAAAAATGTTTCAACATAAGTTTTCATTAGGTATAAAGAATTATTTATGACATATTCAAAATACCAAAAATGTACTTAAACTTTAAGCATAAGCATATTTACTTTTACATGTCGATATTCTTAAACGGAACGTATAATTATCTCAATTAAACTATATTATTCTCGACGTATTTTGCATTAAATATGATTATACTTATTTGAAAACTGTATTTAATTATATCACAATATATCTCATGTAAAATGTACCGTTATACATAAATTAAATTCAATACAAGAAATTTACTTGAGTAAACGAATTTATTAAATTATATTAAACGCGACTTTTCATGCAGTGAAACAACATGCAAGCTTTTGTTCGTCAAAATTTTTCATTAGCATGGGGTAATACCTTTTCTAAAGTTCTACTTTCTATTCAAATACCAAGAAGTAAGGCGAGGGGAAAATAGCACATCTGCATGCACTGGTTCTTTTATAATTGATGTAAAGGCTTATTTGCAGAAAAAACCTTTCATCATTTTCTTTACTTACTTTCATATATTCCATTGAATGAGCCATTATGATCAATAATGACATTGCGTTTTAAATCAAAATTTCGTTCAATATCTGTTGGTCGTTGCAGTTCTGTTGATCCATCACCATGCAGATATTTGAATTCAATATATACACCTTGCGTTTCTTTAATAAATGCACTTTTACGCTCCGTAATATACATATTACATGGCTTGAATTGTTGATGAATATTTACACAGGGGAAGAATTTAGTCTTATCATTTGAAAAGCTTGTGGTAAGATAAAATAGTTTTTCATAATGTGCTTAGTGTTGCTACTTAAAACTCTATTTTAAATGTAAATTTTCTGTTGAATGCCTAAGAGATCTTGAGATCTGAGTTTAATGTCAGACGCTTCTAGGGAATATTGATTTTGAGTACGATTTACTTTTCAATATTTCAACCTTGACTTTACATGTACCTTTTAAACTGTTGTTGTAAAAGGCTTTCATATTTCAAATGTATTTCATTTGAGATTTCTTTGGGTACCAACATATCAGAACGTCGTGGATAGGACTTTGGACTTTAACCTACTATTGAAAGACTTCACATTAGCGATAAGTTCTCGTATAGAATCCTTAGTACTTCAGTAACATATCATGTTTTTTTTCTAAATGAAGGTTGAAGAACTCAAACATGCTTTAATTAAGATAATAAGGTTGAAATTTTGAATATAATTGCATTAGTCATGTATATATAACGTAATGTCATATTTTATAAAATATGATAAAATTGATGATAGATTGATGTTTATGATATTGCTAAAAGTACTCTACTTTCTTTATGAAATTTTTCAGCTACTAGTGTAATATACATTGCATGTACCATGTTATGTTACGTTTGGTCTAATTTAGGTTTTATAGAAGTTAACCTGAAAATGGCTTGGATATCCTTTGATGCAGGTGCGTAATTATTTCATAAATACATCAGCTTAGAATCTTAAATAACGTGTTGAAAAATGTTTGCATCATACTGTGGTTTCATCAATTTTCGTTGGCATCAATTTTCGTGGATTTTTTAAAACATGCGTTTTCGAGGATACGTAATTTCAATGGACAAAAGGTTAGGGTTAGAATGGACAATGGACAAAAGCACTGCCAATACCAATGAATGTCATATTTCGTATTTCAATGAACATTTGAATTCGTGGATCTGCTCAACTACGAAATCCACGAAAATTGGTGCTCAAAATATTGATGAAACCACAGTATATGTTAAGAAAATGCTTAATTTATTCCATTTCTAAAAAAACAGGTTTTGATCTGGTGACATATGAAATGTAAGAGCATGTAATATTAAACCAGTGGAAATATATACCATTTTTAATATTAAGTATATTAATCTCTAGAATTGAAAAAAAAATTAATACAAAAAAAATGCAAACGTAGTATCCCAGCCATTTGGGATGTACAAGCAAATGAACATTTGTCTATTTTCAAGCTCAGTTGAAATGCTAATTACTAATACAGCAATTACAACATATGAAATATAACCTAGAAAATTCAGATTAAAATGTTCGAAAGTAGAACACAGTATAGTATAATGTCAGTCCGTACTAAATAGTGTGTGCAGAATATAAAAGTTGACCAGACCCGGTAAATCGTAAACATAAACAATAACAGAGCTCGTCCCGTTTAAAAAAAAACAAGTTTTTGTTTCCCGGGTGTATTCAATTTATATGACTCTGTACAGAACACTGAGCACGGCGTACGATACTAGTTAGATGGTTTTATTTTCGAACATTTCTACTCTGATATTTTGTATTATAGTTTTAATATTTTTCATGAATACACAACTAAATTGCCACTTTTCTAAAGTATTTAGAATAAAGTTATAATTTGTTAAAGTGCAAGGATGTGTCCATAACTTCGAGATGAACAAAAAATATATATATTTTCTTGTGAAATGCTGTTGCAATATATAGTATATAGTCTTTATATTATACAGAAAATTTGAGAAAATATTAACTTCAAATCTGTGTGTAATCGGTTTTAAAAAGACTTATAATGGCGAATCTTTAAATTACCAACGTCAACGCATGCATTTGTACAACCTATATGTGTCAGTATTTACAATATAAGTTCAATAACATGTCCTATTCTTTCAAATCATTGAAAATTTTGTTCCGTTATAAACCTATATTTAAAAAAGTATAACATTTCCAATGTTGTACTGAGATGTCTAAAAAAAAAATCGATGTTTGACCTGACTAAGTGAGATGTTGAACCTGTGGATGAGATGTTAGACTGCTTACGTCGCACAATGGGCGGAATCAGGGATCTATATATAAACTATTTGAATTCGATGGTGTTCAACAGCCTAGTTTACCCGCAGTACTGGTTCAGGCATTTACACCAAGAAAGCCAGCAAAAGATACATGTATTTGTGAAAAATAAGAAAAGAAGAGGTAAAAGAAATTGTTATTGACAGTCAATATGATCTTTGACCCTTGAACCAAACTGATTACCTTTGGTTTGGTTCTTGGATCCGAAAAAAACGAATTTTTCCCTCGAGCCAAGTCAGTAAAAGTATTTAATTATATGATTGAATAATTTCCAGCACATTTAAGGTTACAGTAAGGAGGCGGGGCCTAATTTGTACGGTAAATGTTAACTATGACGCCACACAAAAGGTCTTCAAAATCCCACAAAATGACAGTATTTGCTATTTCAAACTATTAGATAGTGTATACTACACAAAAGCTTACTATTTCAAGCAGTTTTATCGTTTGTTAATCCAACACAATGCATTGATCGCAATGCACTTGTCAATGTGACAAAAATGACACAGTTTGTACACAGTGAGAGGCTGATCAAGTCACATTTTGTACAATGAAAAATACCTTTTGTTCTCAAATAAAATATTATTTGCAGTTAAATAAAAGGCAGTTAACCTGGATGTGATGTCTATTTTAGCATTTTATTGATAAACTGTCTGTATATTCTCCAGACAAGTGATACTGTTGTGTGTTTGTATGCAGAATCATTTATAAATAAGTAATGGAAGGGCCCTAATAATTCAATTTATTGCAAATACATACTCTCAATTTTTCTTGTCAAGTTTTTACACATAAACCAAGAAAGCATTAGGAAATTAGAAAAGTGCTGCGAATTTCATTAAATCATATAAATAGATTTATTATAGCTATATTTAATGTAGTTGACCAGCAAAATATTCAACCTGCCGTCCAACAAATTATACTTAAGCAATTGAAAAAGGGAATTTATATAGGTTCGCAGTACTTTTCACAAACTACATATAGTGTTGAAAAGAATTATAAATTTTTAACTTGGTTATGCCCATTGCAATATTGGAATTTATAGATGACCTCTAAACTGCAAGTATAATTGAAAAAATCATGTGAGGTCGACTTCATGTGACAAGTTTAAATAAAACATTTAAT